TCCACTGCTGGTGGGGCTGCAGACTTGTTCAACCCCTATGGAAAGCAGTGTGGAGAACTCTTAAAAAACTACAAATGAACTTACCATTTGACCCAGTTATACCACTCCTTGGCATATACCCAAAGAACTCATCCTATTTCAGAGACGCTTGTACATCCATGTTTGTTGCTGCTCTTTTCACAACAGCTAAGAGATGGAAGCAACCTAAGTGTCCCTCAACTGATGAGTGGATAATGAAAATGTGGTTCATTTATACAATGGAATTTTACTCAGCAGTAAAGAAAGATGAAATCATGAAATTTGCAGGTAAATTGATGGAATTAGAAACTATTATACTAAGTGAGGTAACACAGACTCAGAAAAAAAAATTGACCTATGTTCTCCCTCATATGTGGATCCTAGCACCAAATCCTTATAAGTGAGTATATTTCCAGACATAACTACAGGAACCAGGATAATGAAAAGGAACTAGGGATATAAAGGAAAAAAATCTGAAAAAGAGGAACAGAAGGAAACAGGTGTTAATAAGGGAGACATGGATAAACATGGGGTTATTTTAAGGGGAAGGGGGAGGTAAGTTTATACAAGGAAACTTGGGGGATAAAAGGAAAGAATGGGCTCAAAAGAGGTATTGGGAGAAGGGTATTATTAAGGGAGAAATTGGAAAAATGGGGGCACCTTAAATGGGGAAATCATGGTGGAAGGGTTAGACAATGCAAGAGATAAATAATGCCTACCTAGTTTAAAAAAAAACGGAACCATATTAAGCGAACAACCTACTGACAAATTATACATACAACTAGCTCAAGGAATATAATATATGTCTAGGCAAGGTTTATCTGAGAACGTTTGGTCTTTGCCCAAGATTTATTTACATGGCACATGGTACCAGACTGGTGGAACTTACCTTCTTGGACATTTAACAGCCATTCTTTGAGGCCTATACTAATTTGGTCAGAGGGACATAAAGGGCAGTTTTTGCTCCTTGCCCTCCTAGGTCAACTAAGTTCCAGGGGACTATGAGCAGCTCTCAAAATTTCCTGTGACTGTGGTGAGTCACCTGTCCTCTTGATCAAGGAGGCCAAGGAGACCCTACCAAATGGACCAGTGTCCAGTCTACAAAGAGGAGGGTCATCACAGAGGAAACATTTCCTACATGTTTCCAAGTGAAGCCAGCCATGGTCAAGTAGGACCTTTGACTTATCTTCACATAGATGGAACTGGTAAAAGAAAGGAGCCAGGGACTCCTCCCAAGCCCATGTGACCCCTGAGGAACAGATCCTCAAATGCCTAGAGAGTAAAAATAAATTGGTTTATCTGGGCCAACTCTATGGTCTTAAACACCCAAAAGGAAAGTATAAACAAAGATTAAAGGCCTTCCTTTGAGTTGTTGGCCAGAGTGGCCCAAGAGACTCCCAGACAGTAACCCAGCCTAGAACTGGGAGAATGAACAGAAGCCCCCAATCTTATGTAAAGGAATATTGGCAACTGATTCTTGCTAGATGAGGAAGAGCTGATCTTCCTAAAACAAGGAACTCTAGATAGGCTGACTAGATTCAGTGGATGGGCAAGCACTGGGGAACGGCTGGGGGGCATTGACAACACAGTGGACAATAACAGGGATGACAGAGTATATGGGCTCCAGTGGGGGGGCGGCTATCAGAGGGTGACATTTGGGATGTGGGTATATAGATGAAGAAGCTTGTTTGGGGTGTTCTGTATGAAATACACACAAAGAATCAACAAATTAAAAAAATGAGTTATATTTGAGGAAGAAGCATAAAAATTTGCTTCATGTTAATTAGTAGAGGTGAAAAACATTACCATTGAAATCTACCAGATGATTTTGTACCCATGCTCAGGTGGATCTCAGAAAGTAACCAACTGTAACTACTAATAATCAGATACTTAGAGATTAGAGACACATATGCAAACACCTAAGTGTTAGTAGCATTGAAAATGAGTTTTTCTGTATGAAACAGTATATTTTAAAATGAAATGGAGATCTTTTCTAAAGGTTAAAACCTCATTCAATTTTATGTCTAACAGGGTTTATATTGAGTTCAATATTGAATAACTGTATTAATTCAACTCTGAACCTAAAAATATATAGCCAGTTTTGAAAGAGATGCATCTTTGCTCTGGGAGTTGTTATTGTATATGTTAATGCTTTAATGAAACGCTTCTTCTGGCCTGGAGAAATGGCTCAGTGGTTAAGAACACTGACTGTACTCGCAGAAGACTCGGGTTTAAATCCCAGAACTCATATGGTGACTAACAACTGTCCATAACTCCCATTCCAGGGGATCCAACAGCCTCTTCTGTGGATTGCATGACATGGGTGCACTTACCTACATGCAGGTATAACACTCATTTTAATAATTTTTTAATAATTTTAAAAAAGAAAGCAGGCTAAGCACAGGCCAGGGGAGCAAGCCAGTAAGCAGCATTCCTCCACAGTGTCTGCTTCAGTTCCTGCCTCCTGGCTCCTGCCCTGACTGCTGTCAATGATGAACTGTGATCAGGACCTGTAAGCCAAATAACCCCCCTCCCACCATTAATTAACTGTTTTCCCCAAAGGTAGGGCAAACAGCCACTTAATAAGTAGCTAAAAGAGCCAGGTTTGAAGTTCATTGGTAGAACACTTGTCTGTGCATGTGTGCATGGGTTCAGTCTCCAGCATTGCAAAAGAAACCCCAGGACGGAAGGGGTCATGGAGAGAATCTGAGGCTTGGCATCATGAGAAGCCAGGAGAGGGTACTGGTGCAGGTGCAGCCTTGGTTGTGATGGAAACCCCAGCATTTTGGAGATGCCAGGACTGTGGGACAACCACCAAGGGCAATGGCAGGTATAGAGTGTAGCCAGCCTGGGCCTACAAGACAAGCTGTGTGAGCTGTGGATAGCAGGGCCAGAGAAGTGGAGCTGCCTAAGCTCTTTGGAGCCTAGAAGATCATGAGTGAATCCCACATGTCAGACATTGAACTAGCGGTGCTGTTGGACTTTGGTTTTGCTAAGTGTGTCCTGGTTCTTCCCTCTTGATATAAGATAGTATGCAACTTGTTTTGGGTTTTACAGGAGTTCGCAATTAAAAGACTTTTTAATGGGACTTTGACTTTTTAAAGTGTTTGAATTTTTAAAAGACAATGGGAGTTTTAAAGCTGGGCTATGTTTTATATTGTGATATTAATATTAACATGAGATCTTGGGGATAAGAAGTAGAAAGGATATGGTTTAATAGTGATATGTTTGTGTGTCAAATTGAAAAGGGGTTAGTTGTGCTGGAAAGTTTCAGTTGTTGACTTGACACACTTGGGAAGAGGGAACCTCAATTGGGGAATTTTCTCTATCTGACTGGCCTGTGGGCATGTCTGCGAGACATTTTCTTGATTGTTGATCGATGTGAGAGGGCCCAGCCCACTGTGGGCATTGGTGGTACCATCCCTGTGCAGGTGACCCTGAGTTGTATAAGAAAGTCGGCTGAGCGTAGGCCAGAGGAACAAGCCAGTAAGCAGCACTCCTCTGTGGTCTCTGCTTCGGCTCCTGCCTCCAGATTCATGCCCTGTCGTCTTTCAGTGGTTGACTATGATTGGGATATGTAAGTTAAATAAATCCTTTTCTTCCTGTACAAAAGACATAATAGAATAAAACAAAACAAAAAATGGCTAATGACCGAAACAAAAGGGTAAGATATAATAAGGAAATATATTGATACTTTTATTATGGGCTGATTTTGTGTTTCCCAAGTGCATGTATGGAAGACCTAACCCCAAATATGTTTGAATGTGACTGTATTTGGAGAAAAGGGTTTTCAAAAGGCAATTAGGTTAACTGAGGTCATTGGAGTAGTCCCTAGTACAGTATGATTGATCTCTTTATTTTAGAAGGGGTCTAGCATACATATAGAGGAGTAATGCCCTGTGAACATGAAGTCAGTCACCTACAGGCTAAAAAGAGGACCTCGGGATAAACAACCTTGATCTTGGACTTCTAGCCTCCAGGACTTTGAGGCTTTCTGTTAAGTCATACGGTCTGTGGTAATTTTCCACGATAACCAACCCTCTTGATCAAATAAAAAAGAAATACTGTTGGCACCATCTTACATATAAGTTTGCAGTTCTGATTCAATGTTTGTCATGAGAGTGTACAAACAGTGATTACCTAACTTCGGAGGACTATGGAGATCTGAGGGCACTGCTGTTGGGACCAAACAGCAAAGGCTCAAATTCCAGTTCCCTCACTTGCTACTTTTGTGACTCTGTGCAATTTACTTAACTTGTCCCTCAAATACAGATGGACTGGCAGCAGCTGTTACTTAGACCTAGGCAATGGTGGTGATGGATGACTGCCATTCTGCAAAAACAAGCATAGGTAAGTACTCTAAACCGTGAGCTACTGATGGCTAACTCTCTCTACTAACGGAGTAATGAAGCTTGACTGAAGGAAATGGTGTCTTAACCTGCAACAGGGTCTGGAGGGAAGAAATGGGGATTAGTTCCTGAAATAAACAGGCAGATGCAGCGCTTGCACTGAAATAGACAGATATAGTATACAGCCCTGTGCATGGTCACAGCCTTAAGACATAGGTATCCTCTCACCAACACCACCATCCTTAACTTTCAGTTCATAAATGAAATGTCAGAGAATTTAAATGATTTGACCAAGCTCATCTAATTTGCATCCAGTTTGAAGTTCTGGATTTTATGTTTAAGGCTTTTCGTGGCAGATAGAAACCACACACGAGAGAGAGAGAGAGAGAGAGAGAGAGAGAGAGAGAGAGAGAGGCAGAGTAGTCCACTAATCCTATTCAACTGGAGTCACGGGAAGAGGGCCTGGATTTCTGATACTCAAAGATAGAAGAGAGGTATCCATGCTCCAGGAGACAGAGAGGAGAGAGAGAGAGAGAGAGAGAGAGAGAGAGAAGAGAGATTTTCGCATACACACGAGAGAAAACACACACACAGAAAAATAGACCCCCAAGCTTTCATTCACCTCTGTCTTACCTGGTACAGTGCAGGACACAGGTGGGCTAGGCCTAGAGTAGAGATAGGAAAGGCTTGTGGGGTTTGTTGTCCGTGTGCAGGTTCTTCTCAGGACTGTGAACAGCCACTGAACTTGGCCTCTGGCTAAGGAATATGTTGAGCAGAAAACTTCAGGAATTGGATGAAGCTGCAGGGGAGGAGAAGTCAGTGGGAGGGGGCAGAAAGCAATTGGAAGTTTCCAGCAGAGACAGTCAGCTGGGGAAACATGATACAAAGGCACTTCCAGGTCTTGTGGGATGTCTCAGTGTGGGAGAGGAGAAGAACAAACGGAGGTCTTTTCACAAGCTCTCTGTGGCTAACCTAGTCCCCTTCCTTAGTCTTGCACCCCCTTATTTTTATCTATTTGATAACTGAAGGGCAAAGCAGTCTCAGAGCCAAGACCCATGCTCTGGAGGCGGAAAGGTCTGGTTGTGAGCTTCAGTTCCTCCCTCGGTGTCTGCCTCTTCCTACTTAATCCTCTTGCTCACTCCCCACCTTATTTGTAAAATGAAAATGATAAATTCCAAGGATTTTGTTTGTTTTTTTTGTTAGTATTAGATGGAATAATTTAAGCAAATTACATAGCAGTGCTACAACCGTTGTTGACTGTTCTATTGATTTGGGATTCTAACCAAGAGATGAAACAATTTGATGTCCTGGCAGAATGCAGGGTCTCTGTAGTTTCAAAGCCCTGGAAGGCTAAACTCTGGGTTTGTCCCCTGTAGGAAGGACTTTGGACAGGCCACTTACCTCCTTGAATTGGGACTGCTCATAAATAAAATGAAGAAAAGGTTAGTAATAAGATTAGTTTCATGAGCTCATTGAATAGATCATGTAACAGTCTGTAGAGCACCTCACCCAGGCCTTTAGACATAGGTCAGATATTGATGTGTTGATTGGTTAATGGAGGATATTGTAGATGGTTCCTGTAACATTAGTTTTCTACTGGACCAGTTTTAGGAGTCTTATTGGAGAGTAGAGGACCTCTAGGGCTCTGGCTTAGCTTTCCCAGAACTCTTACTCTCTCAAACTCTGTTGAATCTGGGATTCAAAATGCATTGGTTAAAGTCACCACTAAAGACAGAGACCGAGCTGAGGGAAAGCCTGACTTCTTTTAAAAAATATTTATTATTTTTATTTTATGTGTATTAATGTATTGCCTGCATGCATGTAAAGTGAACCTGTGTCATGTAATGCCCACTGAGGTCAGAAGATGGCATGGGATTCCCCTGGAACTGGAGCTACAGATGGTTTTCAGCCACCCCTCATGTGGGTGCTGGATATTGAACCTGGCTCTTCTGTAAGAGGCCGATGCTTTTAACTGCTGAGTCATCTCTCTGACCCCTGAGCGCGACTTCTGAGACATAGACTCGATGCTTCTGGGCTGATTAATTTATAATGAACTCTTTAGCGTAGTGTAAACTTTGCTTTGGGGGAGAGGAGTGGGTGAGAAGGCAGGGTGAGGTGGACTGGTTATAGTAAGCTGCATATTAAACAACTAAGGGGTCAAAAGTACAAAAATCACTAATACTGAAGTGGAAGGGAAGCCACTTCCGAGGGTTGAAGCAGGAGTAGGAAAGGAGGCAGAGCCCATGGGAGGCAGTCTGGCCCTCAGAAAGTGTTCTCTGCTGAAGTATAGCACTAGTACACGATGAAAGAGACAGGTCTTTAGGCCAGGCAGGCTGAACATGAGTGTAGCTTTCACCACTTACCAGCTTAGTGACCCTGAGGTTTCCTATCCCTCTATGCCTCCATTGCAAGTGGGGATAGAGGCAGTAAAACCATGAGGACTGCGTGCATGCTCCCTTTCCACCAGCCCCTTCTATAATTAGTCCGAAGGCACTGAACTGCAGTTCTAGTCGGTGAACTCCAGAATGAATGCGAGTCACTTTTAGTGTTGGGCATTTAAGGGAATATTGACTAATCTGTACTCTTTCCTGCTGATTTAGTGCTTTTGGAAATTATGCAGGACATCATAAAGTGGTGGAGACTCTATCAGCCTTCTCTGGGTATTTTTATATAGTGGAATCTCCTTCATCCTGGACCATTATACTGACTAACTTCCTTAATCTTATAATGAAACTTTGGATCATTCACTCATGAATGATCATTTGGATCATTCATAATAGAAACTTATTGAGCATCTTCTAAGTATAGCTATGGCTTTGAATGTGCCACACAAGGTTACTGCGCAAGTCTGTTTCTGCTTTATCATCTGAAAATGAAAATAGCAGTATCTGTTTCATATGATTGCTGTGGTAATTAAAATGAAAATGTGTATACATTACTCAGAATGGTACCTGGCATATGCAAAGAGTATTATTAATTATTAAGAGAGAGGAATAATTTTGAAAAGAGAAATGAGTACTTCTTTTTGGTTCAGGTATATTCATCAACACATCCAGATGTTGGCATAAATTTCAACAAGTATAAAAGACATCAATAACTTTGATATTAGAAATCTACAAGTTTTAAGCTTTGCATTATTTAATTAAAAATTACTTTGAGATTTATTATTAAGTGAGTGTGTGTGATGTTCGTGAGTGAGGGCATGCACATGGTGCATCTGGAGGTCAGAAGACATCAGGAGTTGGGTCTTTTCCATCTTCCTCGTTGAGGCAGAGTCTCTCTTGTTTTTTCTCCAGGGCTTGGTTGATTACTTTAGGATGGGTGGTCTCTGAGTTTCCAAGTGATTTTCTTCTCTCTGCCTTCCATCTTCCCTTAGAAATGCTGGAACTGAGATGCATGCTACCAGATCCAACATTTTTACTTGGATTCCAGGGATCAAACTCAAGTGCTTTCATGGCAAGCATTTTTATCCTCTGAGCCATCTAGCTGGCTCATTATTTTTAAACTTCTTCTTCCTCCTCTTCCTCTTCCTCCTCTCCCTCCTCTTCCTCTTCCTCCTTCTTCTGCAGTGCTGAAGAATGAACTCAAAGTCTTGCACATGCTAGGCAGACACTCTATTACTGAGCTACATCCCCAGCCTGATTACTTGCAAAGTTCCTTTTACCTACAAAAAATTGGAAACATGACCTCTTTTATATGTATGTTAAAGTCTCATGATGTATGTTGTTCATTATTCGAATGAAGAAATTGAGACTTGGGAAATTACAAAGTAATATGGACTTAGATCTATTCCACTCCTACATGTAGCAGGTCATATAGTAAAAGACATATGTGGGATTTTCTATTACTGTCACCATTGTACTAATGGGAATTTGACACTAAGAATTTAAGCCTCTTGTCAAAACTCAATTCAGATAGGACATGACAGAAACATTTGAAAAACTTGGTTTTACTTGTGTTAAATTCTTAATTGTTTGTCTCTGTGCTTACTATCACAAATTCATCCTGGGAATAGCTCCCAACTAAAAGCATACACAGCTCTTTGTAGTTCATATATTCACTTTGATTAATACAGTCAGCATGTCTGGGGTCCAGCCAGTAACAATATCCTGAGACATTGAGAAGCTCAGACTGAAGCTTGTTATGCACTTTCAAATCCAAAATGCTCATGTACACTACAGACACACAGGTGCTATAGACAGTTTAAAAAATAGGAAAGCCTGACCCATGGTGGGGAGAAGAATAGGGCAACAGTGACTAGGACTGATGGCTCAGACTAGAATAAGTAGGCGGTGATATTTAATTGCTATGATAGAGCCATGAGAACTCTGCTTAAGGACTGAAGGAAGGTATGCTAAAGATGAACCAAAAATTTTGGTAGAGAAATAGAATTTTTCATTGGGAATCATTAATTCAAAAGCTGTTATTTTAAGTTAAAAATTAACTGACTGAACTTTCTGACAGACTGAAACAATTAAAGAAAGTCAGTGTTGGGAGCTATTAATCCATTAGGTACATTGAGCTGTGGCAGGCTTGCTTGTTTACTGAGTTTGTGTTTTGCACACCAGTACCTAATCTGCCAAGTCAGGAGGAATATGTTTATATGGTGGAGCTCACAACAAGTATTTGACTGCTCCTTGACCCTCAGATGCAGGTGGGAAAAACAGCTGTTGAAATTAATTGAGTTAAGATCTCTGATGTTCTTCTGTATAAAAAGGTGGAACTAAAATAAACTGGCGGCTGCAGTCTCTACTGACAGTCCTCCCAAGTATCTTTTTCTCTGTCTCTTGTTTTTTCTTTCAATCCTCACTCCCCCTTTCAGGTACTGTCCGTCTTGGCTGGCTGGCACTGGCAAGTCAGTGAACCTAAATTAAAGGAAATGTCACTTGGATTTAATAGAACATTGAAAATGAATGAGCGGAGCATCGGTGAACCATGGAACACATGGCGAACCATGGAACACACACACAGTGAACCATGGAACACACGGTGAACCATGGAACACACACACAGTGAACCATGGAACACACGGCGAACCATGGAACACACACACAGTGAACCATGGAACACACGGCGAACCATGGAACACACACACAGTGAACCATGGAACACACGGCGAACCATGGAACACACACACAGTGAACCATGGAACACACGGCGAACCATGGAACACACACACAGTGAACCATGGAACACACGGCGAACCATGGAACACACACACAGTGAACCATGGAACACACGGCGAACCATGGAACACACACACAGTGAACCATGGAACACACGGCGAACCATGGAACACACACACAGTGAACCATGGAACACACGGCGAACCATGGAACACACACACAGTGAACCATGGAACACACGGCGAACCATGGAACACACACACAGTGAACCATGGAACACACGGCGAACCATGGAACACACACACAGTGAACCATGGAACACACGGCGAACCATGGAACACACACACAGTGAACCATGGAACACACGGCGAACCATGGAACACACACACAGTGAACCATGGAACACACGGCGAACCATGGAACACACACACAGTGAACCATGGAACACACGGCGAACCATGGAACACACACACAGTGAACCATGGAACACACGGCGAACCATGGAACACACACACAGTGAACCATGGAACACACGGTGAACCATGGAACACACACATAATTAGTTGAGTCCCAGAACCAAAAAACAAAAAAGAAATAATAGTCAAAAGTGTTCTAGAAAAAGCAAAGTTTATTGACTCTAAAAATACCATAAAGTCCCAAACAGGAGAAATGT